GTGGCGAACGCCTGCGAGAACCTGGGCGTGGCGTACTGGCGCAAGACGCCGGAGAAGACGGCCGACAAGGAGGCGTCAAACCACGGCATCAGCGCACAGAAGTTCCAGCTCATTCGGGTAGGTGGGGGTTGCGTCGCGAGCTGGAGGGTGCTGCGTTGCTCTGATATTGGCTTTCCGAGTCCGATGGGGAGGGAAGATTTGGACGTCCTTGGCGGGTTTACGTGCATAGGCCCGAGTGCTGCCCGCGGCCCTGAGGCCACTGGATAGCCGTTTGTGATCTTGGAAATTATTGTTGCCGGGGCCCCATCTCAACTCTCCGCACCAACCCGCACCGATGTTCCCCTTTTTCGTGGTCCGCGCGCACGCATGCAGGAGTTCCTGTCGCTGGGGTACTCGGTCCTGCTGTCCGACGTAAGTGCCACATTCATTTCAGGAGTGCATCGTTGCCCTGCTGCAGAGCGTAGCGCTAGTGTGCTGCCCCCTCTGCTCTTCGTACACAGCCTGCCAGTTAGGGTGCATGTCGACCTAGCAGCACCCGGCCGCGCACGACCCCACCGTCAGCAGCAGCCGTGGGGGGATGACGACACAGCAGCCGTGGGGGGATGACGACACAGCAGCCGTGGGGGGATGACGACACAGCAGGAGCTGTAAAACGTCCGCAGCGGCGGATGCTACGGTGCTCAGTCATGCCAAGCTATGGTGCCAAGCTACCGAGGTACCACATCATTGCAGCGGCAGCAGCAGCAGCAGCACGAGTATGTGCGGACTCGCACGATTACTGTGGCTGCGTCATGTTGCTAACATTTTAACCTGCTGTTGCGTTTGTTGTTTTGTTGATTGCCCCACGCCCAGGTGGACATCGTGACGCTGCAGAACCCATTTGACCACCTGTACAGGTGCGTGGCTGTGCGCCTGTGATACGAGACACCCGGGCAGGCCATCTGAGAGCATTGCTCAAGACCCTCTGCCATGGGCCTATGGCCCTGCAGCACCTGTCACTGTCAACCGCAGACCTTTTCGCCTCCGCATTCCTTCAGTCCGAGACAAATCTTGAGCGTCAATTGCACTGAAGTTCGTATCACCCGCCTTTTCCTGCTCTTGCTGCTCATCTCCAGGGACGAGGACGTCGAAGCCCTTAGCGATGGCTACGATGAACAGACTGCATATGGTGGGTCGGGGTCGGTCCCTTGCTGGCTCTGGTGCCCTTCAGAGTGGTTGCAGGATAGCGCATGGAGGGAGCAATCCAGGACTTGATGGTGTGGGTTGGTGATGTGGGAGGTTATTCTGTACGTGGTCGGCTTGGGTCAACCGAGTGGTTGCCTCTCTGCCTGCCAGCCTGCCTGCCTGCCTGCCTACCTCCCCGGTCAGTTCACCCCGACCTATTGCGCGACTGGCCGACACGGCTGACTGATACCCTGTCTGATGATGCAGGTTGGGATGACGTGCACGACGACCCGAAGATGGGCTGGTCGCGCTGGGCCCACACCATCCGTGTTTTTACACTTAACTCGGGCCTCTTCTACATCAGGCCGAACGAGAGGACTATTGGCCTCATGGACCGCATTACTGACCGCCTCAACAAGCGGAAGGAGTGGGATCAGGTGCGGAGCGGAAAGTGGCAGGAAAGTAGAGCGAGGAAAAGGCATGCTGCAGGCTCAGCGACAGAGGCTCAGCACGTGGGGAGGGGCGGACAAGGGAGGTTGTGAGATGCGGCGTGGCGCGGCCGTGGATACTACTGCCGTAACAAGGCTGAATTGGAATCGCAACGCGGAGGCGACACCGCAGTAGCGACGGCTGTAGCGACGGCTGTAGCACAGTACTGTGGAAGGTGGCTTTTTTGGGCAAAAAAATAAAGACAGATAAAGAGCAGGAACGAAGGTATTAAGTTGCAGCGGAAGTTGGTTGTAATGGAAAGCTGGTAGGTTGGATGTGCAAGGGGAGAGGCGGTAATGCTTCTTAACTTTGCAATGCTCGTCCGCGACGCTGTATGTTGCTCCTATAATCCGGGCCGCTGTGCCCCCTTCCTCTCGGAGTTTGGAAGCCGGCACAGTTCACATCTTTTTGGTGTGCTTGCAACATATGTTGTTTCCCTCTCCCTCTCCGCAGGCGGTGTTCAACATGGAGATTTGGTTCCCCAGCCACGACGATTACAAGACCTCTCGCATCGCGGTGCGCATCATGAACATCGACAAGTTTATGAACTCGAAACGCCTGTTTAAAACCATCCGGTGGGTCTCAATCTTAGGGTCGCGGTGTATTGGTATATATTGTCGTAATGCTGGTCTGATGCGTTTGAAGAGGGAAAACTTCGTTTACTTCAACATACAGCGCGATGTGCGGTGATACTGCTTTGGCACTGCAGGGCTGTATTGGGCCTTGGGAGGGGAAGGCTGGAAGGCGAAACGGGCTGTGTTTATGTTTGCAGTTTGAGGAGATGAACGAGCTTCCTATCTGGGCGCTACCGTCCTTTTAGCCTTCTAGGTCAATAGGAAGGATGCAAACAAAGTAAAGTAAAAGGGGTGATGTGTTGGCAGGGGGAGAGTTACATGGCTTGGTCGGGATGATGCATTTATAATGTGATTATGTTTGCCGCTTTAGCGTGTATTCGGGCCGACTAAACGAAGCATACTTTGCTTGGTGTGTGCTGCATGTCCAAGTCCCCATGACTTTAAATACTCGATTTTCGACCTTGCATTTTCACGACGTGGCCTGCTTACTGCGCTTGCTATTATTGCATTACATTAGCCGTGTGTTTAATAACCTGAGCTCCATGTGTTCCGTACATACATGTATATGTGTCGTACAGGTACGATGCCCAGTACAGCAACCACGTACCCGTGATGGTCCACGTCAACTACCACCCGGATAAGTTTCAACGCATGCAGTCGATCTGGGCCCGGTACGTCCTTACGCGGGTCGCTTTATTATTGCAACAGCGATAGTCCCTCTTACACGGCTTGTCGTGTCATGTCATGTAGCATGATGATGAGGATGATGATGATGATGTTGCAGACGGGCCGCTAGGCACTTTCGCGGGTGTACAAATGCAGTCGCCCCGCCGCAAAAGCTAGTCTTTTATCGATCAACTTGCGCCGCTGCGCCGAACACGGCACCCATCATTTATTACATGATGTATATGATTATTGGGCGCTGAGACAGCGGTGAGCTGCTGCTGAACCCCGCCTCGGCCCCCACTGCGGCGGGATTATGGAGCCGGCTTTGTTTGCTTTCTGGCTCCCGGGCAACCAGCAGCGTTTCTCATGACTGGTGTAGAATTTGGATGAAGGATGAGGTGTCTGTTTGTCCAATCCCTTTTGTTTTTTCTTTGAAAGCCCAAAATTTTTTATGAAAGCCCGAAATCGACGCGATGGCGATGTTTTTGCCCTGGCCTCGTTAGGTATGTGGAAGGCGACAGGACCGCGCTGGACAAGTATCCGGTAGGCAGCTGCTTCAATGCTCCAGACTGCTAAATGGTCTGATGGAAAGCCAGGGCCTGGGCTTGGCCAGGGCCCAGGGTCTAGGCTGGGCTGGGCTGGCAAGACTGGTCGCGAGGAAAAAACAGCTTTTGGGGGCACGTTGAGAGCAGCAAGCCGTGCAGCTGGGTTCCTCACTGGCGTGCACTGGGCCTGAAGTAATGCAAGCTGCGATCATTGCATCCGGTACTTGGAGCGTCAACCTGAGGAGAGCCATGCGGGGGGTTTCTGTCGGCGAGGGGTTGGGGTGTCCCGTGATCTTAATGCAGGCCTTACCCTGGTGCCCAATGCGGGATAACGGCGGGCAGGTTCGGCGGATGATGAAATCAGGGGAAGAGCCAACGAGGTGATGAAATTGCGGAGGAATGATGAGCGAGCGAGCGCGCTGCGATTTAGGACTTGAGATGGGTTGAAAAGAATCCATCCGGTTACTGACTTGACGGTTCGGCTGCTTTTCTCATCGCTGTTTGATGTATAGCATTGGCTGGTGGTGAGCCGCACAAGTCATATAGCTGTGTGGGGTGTGTGATCTTCGCAGAGGCGCAGTGAGGGGATTATGAGGAGGTGGCTTGTCTCGACTGTCGCGAAGTGAACATAGCATTGCCTGTGGCCCCTCGTGAGCGCGTTCGGGATGTGTACGATAGCCCCTAAGAGGAGTTGGTTGGTGGATTACTGTATGATGTGTGAAACAGGGGGGTGTATCTTCGCCCGTGGCAGCTACCCTGCGAAACCCTGCCTTCCCCGGTATTTCGGGGCACCCTCATCCAGTCACCCTAGTCAACTTCTCAGTGGATCGCTCAGGTTCCGCACCCACCACCAGCATCCAACGGAATCTGCCGGGTCGACAGCGGCCCAACTCCGTTCCTGGTCGGCTCGCAGGTTAACTTTATCCCAGGTCACCACCGTCCATCAACTAGGGGCGCAATGCCTTCCACCATCGGAAGGACTTTGACCCTAACGGGTATCGATCCCGGGATCTCCCGGGGGCAATGGTCGCGCCTTACCAGTGGTGCCAAACCCTCTTATGTATGTGGTATGCTGATTGTGCTGTATGTGGATACATGGGACGTGGGGTGGTGTATGTATGGACTTAGGGTTTTGATCAGATCAGATCAGGGTCCCTGGTGGACGGCGATTCCGGAATTGTCCAGACGCGCTGTCCTTGCGAGTCAAGGCGCAGTAAGGCAACATGCGGACGGGAAACACCTGTGTCCGTGTGTTAGGGTCCAGTTCCTAACAACATAATCCGAAACGCATAAGCATAGGTGCATTGGCCTACATAGGCAGCACAGCCCCGGTGCGAGCGAGCCACACCAGCCGTGCGCCCTCACCAGTAGAGAGGTGATCCCATCCAGTTCAGATACCGGCATATATGCTCTTCCGGTAACCCCATCCGGTGACTCCGGTGGGAAAACCCCGTGGTGTCGGCTGGCGTGTTAGCACATGATGTCCACCTCACATCACCTCGCCGCTTAAGGAACTCTGTTAGAATGTAAGCAGCAGGCAGCTTAGTGGTAGCATATTGCGCAACAAATTCCACGCCTTCTAGGCCCTGAAGGCCCTAATGCACCCACACTGGCCAGAGGAAGGCGAGGACCTTTCCTGACCAACAATCAGTGATAGCCTCAACTGCCAGCCCAAGGTCTGAAACCAACGCTCGGTGGCACATTATATATGTCCCGATCCTCGTCACCATCGAGTTCGTTCCAAAACCTAGGAACAAGGCTCGGTAAAGGAACTGCAGAGGCCTAAGGTCCCGTCCTTGCACGCCCCGGCCCTGTTCGGTTCCACTATCAGCAGATTCTGGTTTCGCTGGCGGATGGCCGGATGCCATCCTTGCTGTTGCCTGGAGCGCACATCAGCGTGCTGCAGGCGAATAGCTGGTCTGCAGCATTATAAGCGTAATGGTTGCAGGCAACGTGGCAAGTGACCACTCATAGGGTCTTGGTTATCGAAGCCTACCGCAGGATTGATAGAACATATAAGCGCGCGTTTTCTTGCCAACTGCTGATATCACAGCGCACTCGTCATGCTTGAATGTCCGAAAAGTTATGCTCGCTGCATTGGGGCTGCATCCAACTGTTCGGCTGCACATAGAATGCATAGGCAGTTTAGCTCTTAGCCGTATTAGATAGTTACTCGTGCTAGCATCCCGGCGAAAAAAATTTAGTGGAGCTGGAAAGGCCAGGCGGACAGACTGCATTAGAGATTAAGGAGGACTAGGGCGTTTTATAATGTGTTCGTTAAACATGAATCAAATAACTTTTCAATTTCGACTTCATTGCCGCAGCGTGGTGTGAAGAGTTTTGCGAGATCCTGTTCAGCACATAAGCGTTCCGGTGGAAAGGTCTTAAGATGGGCATTTATCCAGTAGCGGTCATATGCCTTGTGAACGCAGTGCTTGGGTCGCGTTTTGCCACATTTGGAAGGTTACGCGTCTCAACGCGGTGCTGTGATTGCTCTGACATCGGCGATATGCCGCATGTTCCTAAACAGGCTTGCGTTCCTGACGCTTTCTGCGATAGCTTCTGACTTGTTCAATAATCCAAGCTAATCTAATTAAAAAATATTATCCTTAACATTAATATTATCTATTTGCGGTACACCCAAAAGTCGCTGACCAAGTTACCAGCATACGCCACGAGACGATCATGGAGTAATGCGGATAGAGTAATGCTCCATCCGTCTTTCAGTCAGCAGGCCATTTGCCATCGCTTCCCTGCTATCCCTTGACATATCACCTCCGTCCTGCACATGTCTGCCTGGGAGGCTACGAACGGGCGGTACATGTCCAGCAATGCATGTTGATTAAGTGCTCGTCCTGTAGTGTAGTACGGCAAGTGCGGCGCGGGAGGAGCAGACCGGAATTGGCCAGAGGACAGTGACTGATACGGTAGTGCGTTACAAAGATTAGCTGGGAACAAAGCGCTGAATCCAGACAACGCTAGTTCGCCAGTCAACCGTGCAAGCAAGCGCAAGTCAGAACGTCGTCTGTTGGGGATTTTGAATTGTTTAAATAGTGATTTACTTTGTATTCGGGACCCAGCTCAATAGTAAAGTAGATAAGGCGATTTGACGTTGCTGGCATATCGGTCGCCAGTAACAGCGAAGTGATGGCAGAGCGCGAGCAATCGCGCGGCGGAGGCCAAGAAGGCTTGGAGGACATCCTCCAACAGCGGGACGAAGGAGGACACCAGAATGGCGGAGCACCTAGTTACCCGGAGGGGGCCGATGCGGTGAGTAACAGACGCCAGCTATTGCTCCGCGCGGTCAGACTGTAGGCACAGCCAGCCGCCGCAAGTTCTGTTATATCAAAGGCATGGGAGAGACCGGACCCAGTTTTAAAATAGCGGGAAAGGGATGCGCCGCCGCTGTTGTTTGACCAGGCTGGATTAGAAGCTACGGGTCAGGCTTAGCTTATGAAGAACACGAATCTGTAGACCGCGAGTGGCCGACTCAGAGTATTAGTGCTCGTGAGGTTGGGTCCGTTCCGGTGGAGGC